TTTGTTATATTATAACATTATCTTACCCTAAATGAAGGCATCTTTGGCATACTAGCTCTAATACCCAAACCAAAACCATCGTAATTGAGCCCCAGTGGTGTTGCTTGCTCCAATAATGATGACAATCCCTGCGATTTTACATCTTCTTTTGTTGTATTATTGACAATAATATTATCACTGTTACCCTGAATTTGATTTTTTTCTGATTTCTTTTCGTCCCACCAAACTTCAAATAATTTGAATGCTGTGTTCTCTATCATCTTCTTATTAAAATCTTTCTTTAGAATTTGTTTTAGTTCATTTACAACTCTGCTTAATACTCCATTGATAGTAGGTCCCTAAATAGAAATATTTTTAAAAGTTGGTTTAAAAGTTCTAAATGCAAAGATTAGATTAGATTAGATTTAAATTTATATATTTGTGTGACAATCAATCTTACCTGTGGATCTTTTGTGATATTATAATTTGCCATAGCATGTAACCGAGATTGAAAAGAGGAATAATAATTTGCTCCTTGATGATTTCCCATTGTTGCCGAAAAAGACGCTGTGTTAGGTTGATAATGGCTTTGTAAGTAAGTTGTTCCATAAGGATAGGGATATTGTGTCGGTCGTGGCCAATTATAAACATCATTAGAAGGATAGTGAGTCAAATGTCCTGGATAACCAGTTGTCGGATATAGTTGATTTGAAGGTTCAGTCTGTGCTATTACCTATCAAAAAAATATTTATGAATATAAAATAGGCATGTGTATACGATGAATACTACATTTCATATGTATAAATGTTCTCACTTCCTCAATTTTTTCATCTCCTGAACTTAAAGGACTCAAAGACATTCTGTCGTCGTCAGGCGGTGGAGGTGGAGGTGGTTCCTTAGGTGGCTCTGGTTCATTGTCATCAGGTGCTGGGCTATAACTTCCTAACAATGCTTCATCTTCACTGGAACTTATGACACTACCTAAATCCTCATCCACGGAAAACTGACTAATGCTATTTTCATGAACTTTTCTTCGTTCTTTGTTTCTCTCTACTATTTTATCAAAACACTGTTTGTATATCTCATGTGAGAGGAAAGGGCTGGGTGGGTCTGATAACATCTCATTGTCACCAAATTGAGATTTTTTGTCATCTTCTGAGTCACTGCCAAACTGTAAGAAAGGAGGTGCCATTCCACCTGCTTTATCCTTTAGTAACATAGCAATTCTTGTATCTAAATCTAATGTCTTGCGAGTTTCATCAGGAGAATCACGAGGTGTACTCTTTGCTGTAGTTTGATTCTCCTTTTCCTTTTTAGGAGTGGTATGCGCTTTTGCACTGGAAGTTTTATTATTAATCGGTGTGACATTAGAACCAGTATTGTCCAAATTTGTTGCATGTGGTTGAATTGGCCAGACGGAAGTTGAGCTTGAATATGCTGCTGATCCAGAATTATTACCCCACCATACATTCGAGTTCTGTTGAATAGGTATATTCTGTGACACATTTTGTGAGATATTAGTTAAATAGCTACTCGGAGGTTGATGATGATAATTGCTGTAGTAAAAGTCATAATTTGTTGCTGGAGTAGAATTTTGAGAATAATTACTAGAATAATTCAATTCACTGGGCGCTGTTCCATAACCCAAATCACTACCTGCACTGCCACTCGGCGTAGGATAGTCTCTATACTTGTTGTATCTTGAATTTTCTACGTATGGCTCTCTGTTCTTTTCTATATTTAGAATAGGTTTTTTACTATTTCTAAAGTCATCCCTTTCCTCGGGTAAAGCCTTTTCCACTGGTGTCTGATGTTTTTCTGGCTCTGGCTCTGGCTTCGATGGCTCTTTTTCCACCTTCTTTTCAGGTGGTTTTTTCTCCATAGTTAATTCCTCAAACATCTTCTTACATTCTTCGCCAAAGGGATCCAGAAAAACCCTTAATACCTTCCCCATCACAGATGTATTATTCAACTTTTCTACACATGCTTTAGAAGCCTTGGTCGATTCAAACACCACTCTTGCTATGCCAAGATGTTTATTGTTTAACGGATGGTAATAAATAGTAAGCTCTTCTATAGATCCAAACTTCTGAACCATGTTTGTTAAAAATGTCTTATCAATATTGTCATTTAAATGGCAAAACGTTACCTCTAGTGGAGGAGGTTCTCCACAGTAATTGGAATCAATTTTAAATCTAGGTACAGGTAGATCAAGCTGTTCCAATCGAGTCCAGATTCTAGTTAATTGCGATCTGGGATCTCGAGGTTGAACCTGTGGATACGTTGGATCGCCTGGAACAGTCCCATCATACCTACATAATCTTGTAGCTCCTTTAACTAAAAATGGATCGACCAGTAGCTTGAAATTTCTCTGAGTCTTCTGAGTCGCTGGTGGCACAGCCGTATCCTTCTGCGAATGTGTCACGTGGCTATGACTATGTTTTGAAGACGGTTGATTCGAGTTCTGCGATGAGCTCTGAGAACTGCCATGGGAATGGCGATGCCGATGCGAATGCGCATGTGAATGTCCATGTCCATGACCATGTCTCTCCATGCCGTTCATTGCCTCCGAGCATCATCCACTCACATGAACTTCTGTCGTAAACATTTATCCAAACTTTAGATGATATCACTATTATGCTGAATGCAAATCAATTTGTACAACTCATAGTTTATTTGCATCTTTCCAGAAAAGCGTATCTATCAAATATACAAAATAAATTGTTCACACAAATTGAATTGCAAACCAATAGGACACAATTTCCATACATCACTCTGTTCATCACTTAAAAATAATGAACTACAATTATATTAAAAAAATATTCGTTGTTGAAACAAGTATGTCTCTTACATTAGTGATATGCGGTACAATTACATGATCGAGATCGTTCATGAATCATAAAATTATAAAGTAATCGCGCGCTTACGTGTACAGACTAGTCTTATAGTTTGTTACAGACATTAGCAGTTCCTTTCTCTTGTGCATCGTACGCGTGCAATCAGGTTAGAGGTAATGATCGCGCGAAATCTTTGTCACTCTGCTATAGATCTTCATACGAGGACGTATTCTCTCGTAGCGTGAACGCAACACACTCGTCGCTGGATCGATACGATCCCCGGTGCGGAATTATCGATATGGCATCCTCAGATGAAACCCAAAACCCATCGTGTCCTATTCACAGACTTACAACGTGGTCTCTCTTTCTCGCAATTTTGGCCGTTCAGTCTCGCACGAGAACGTTATGCGGTTCTCTTCAATGATACATAACCTCGAAAACGCTTCTTAGCGCTCCTTCTAGGTTGGGTTGCCCGCGCGACGGTGAGCCACTGAGAATATTTCCTCGTCGCGGAATCCTCCAGATAGAACGCCGTCGACGATTCCTCGGTCGCACACGTTAAACGTTCCGAGAATCTCGCTCTCTCACCTTTGCTTCTCTGCCTATCTCCCACTCTCCTCACCTCACTTTTTCTATTATACCTCTTCTCTCTTTGTCTCCCTCGCTCGATCTATCACTTTGACCAGAACCTTTAGATCCTTATTCAAGTTGCGGTTTCTTCCTTTGCCAAAAATCGCGTAATTTTTGTAAAACGTCCAGGGACGATGCGTAACGGCGCGAGTGTCCCAAGCCTATTCCCTATCGAGCTATCGAACCGATCGTCCTTTCGACTATTCCGCTGTTGTTTCCACTCACCGCTGACGAATTCGCGATCTTCGGCGATTTCGCACTCCGGCTGAGAAATGTGATGAAACATGTACGGCAAAGTTTTTTTTTTACCTTTTTCTCTCTCTCTGTTTCTCTCGTTCGCTAGCTAATCCGTCGCGACACACGCGATTCTCTGTCCTTCTCTCTCTTTCTCGAGTTGACGCACCTGGAGCGTGTTTGGCTGATCGTGTCTACACTACTTCACTTGCGCATACGAGTGACGAGACGCACTTTGCGCATCCCCGTGCTCGTAAACACGCTCGCGCGAACCGGGCCGACGTCGTCGACGAGCAAACACGCATTCCTTCCTTGCGATTAAATTGCAGGTAGTATCATTCTTTATTTTTCCAAACGCTCTCTTTCTCTCTCTCTCTCTCTCTCTCTCTCTCTCTCTCTCTCTCTCAAATTATGGGTTAATTACTAATACTGGACGCCCCCAACTCGTTTGCACCCTCCCTCTGCATCCCGCAAAAGTTATAACTCGCGGGCTCTAGGATGACTTCGATCAAACTCCATTTAATTTAATTGATGATCAATTCAGCCCTGGTGAAATTGCTTACAATTAGACTCCTACGTGAATTATTTCTAACTTATCCTGGATTTCGATATGTCATATATTTTAACATATACTTTTTATACGTGTAATTGTTATTCTTTAAATATTATATTTAATATTATACAGTATATAAAATAAATTTTATCTCGAATTCTTGCGAATTATAGATATATTCGCGTTATTTGCACTTTTTGCACTAAACATCTTCGTTTTCTTTCTCTTCGACACGCGAATATATATATTTATCCCATTTTAAGTGCAAAAATTTTTGGAGATTTCAAGCAGCGCGAACAGATCTATTGGGTCATCTAAAAAGTATCCGCGTATTTTTTATCATTAGATGTGCGTTGATGGTCATATATCTAATGACAAAGTACTGCGGATACTTTTTAGATGACCCAATATATAATTTGCATGGAATGAATTCCTTGCAATAGATTTTCGGTCTTATTTCTGAACACACTTGAAACGAACCGATGTGAACGTTGCAGCATACGGGTTTCGCATGCAATTACAGTTGCACAGCCGCATAAATGTATGCTTAAAGAAAATTATGCAATCGTGTTTAACATGCGTCTTTAATAATAGAAATGCGATTAGATAATTTTTTTATGCATCCGTTTATACGTATTGTAAGTTTGCTGAATATATGCCCTTAAAATCGTAGCCAATCACTTTTCAGTGTACCTATTATCTGTAGCAGCTGATTGGCTACTGTACGAATTCTTCGATACAACTTTAAATTTCGATCAATCGATGAATCGTGATAATTCTTCCTGAACATTCTGAGTTGTGGTTATCTTCATTCATTTTCAAGTGTTTCTTGATTCCTTCAGAAACTTGGGGAGTCAACTTCCACGATATCAAAGTATCCTGATAAATAAAAGAAATGTCGATACAGAACTTCTTCAAGCGTTATCTGCCAGTAGTTAAAGCCGACGAGGGAGAGGAAGAGGAATTAGTGGATCCACAGACAGTCCTTCGGGTGACAATCGTTATATAATGTTGTGTCTTTCGAACGCGTGCAAATACCGATTTTTTGAAATATGATCGCATTTGATTAAGTTTAAGCCACGATTATCGACTCTTTTTGTAATTTCACGGTTTGAAGAAAATTTTAACTGAAAGAAAAAGATTCTCAAATGCCGATATTCTGTCTGCTGCTCTTTAACATCAAAATAACAGTTTAATAAAGCCGGAAAGAATATGAACTTTAATAAAATTTCTTTTACACGAATATAATTTTTTTAATGAAGTAAAATAATTGAATTGACTTATAATTTATTTAATTGACTTTAAATTCAAATTGTTATGCACATATATCTATATCAATTATTAATAAAAGAATTGACGTTAAAAACATGTTTATGATAAAATTTTATCACAATCTAATATTATCTTGTACCATTTTAATTTGTATCTAATTTTTCCTTGTGCAGGAGGAATGCAGTCAACTACCGAAATGCGTCAATTTCAAAGAGAAGTTAGACACGTGCAACAATCGTGTTAATTCAAGATCTCATACAGAGGAAACATGTGTAGAGGAGATTTTGGATTATGTCCAATGCGTAGATCATTGCGTCGCGAAGACTCTGTTCAATAAACTCAAATAACTGCACAATATTTCCATAAAAAGCTAAACTTGTTTGCAATGTTAAAGTTAAAAATTTCTCTCAAATGTGTACATATATAATCAAATACTAGCAATAAAAGATTAAATTATTATAGATAGAAATATCTCTTCATGGTTTCTTCTTCATCTGTATTTCAACTCTACGAAATAGTTTTTAACAAATTTGAACAATGTGTATACAATAGAATACATAAAATATGAATGACATAATTATACACAGACTTTCAGTTCAGTTCGTTCTGTTTTTTGTCATATAAAAAAATGTTGGAATGATCTTTTTCTCCATTTGTTTTGTCATAAATATATATATATATATATATTATAGTTGAAGAGAACCAGTACCCAATAATACATCAAAGCATACATTGCACACACGTACTGGTTTGTTCAAGCCAAATTTCAAGATTGGTACATCTTGACCTGAGCATTTGCTGCACAAAATTCGTCCACAATGTCGACTAAAAAAAAGAGAATATTAAATATATATTTAAAAGATTAACACGTTCAATTTTTGTTCTTAAAACAATTCAACAATACCAATGATGCTTGCGCATTGTAAGAGAGAATTTTGTTCCGCACTCTAAGCAGCAATCCTTGTCGGACCACGGTGCTTCTTGTGTTAAAGAATCTAACAGTCTATACAATAACTGTTTTGTCGCTACTTGATAATTAAAGATCGTAATTCCATCTTTATTCATCGAACCTAGGCATGCCCCGGCTTTCACTAGCGTTCTACAAAGATTGCCATTGCCCTTCATATACGCGATCAACAAAGGAGTATTTCCATCCAAATCTGAAATATACAAACTCAATAAGACACATATATGGTGCTTTTCAGCAAGAAACAAGGTGTAACAATCACCGTAACATAATAACTTCATCTTTGTTTAACATTGACAAATAAGAATGTAATTATTCATTTGTGTCTCTTGTTGGAAAACACTCATAATATAGTTTAGCTAAGAGAAATTGTACTGTCTTTCAGAATAATTTTAATTTTTCAAATAATTTTATCGTTGTCTTTTTTGTGTAACCTGCGTTATTAACTGGATATTGCGACATGCATTCTAAGAATAGATCGCATATCGTCGCAGCGTTGTCCCTCGCGCATCTGGCTAGTTCATGTAAAGGATTACGACCCTTGAGATTCACTGCTTCCGCATCTAACGTACATTCAGTCAATAATGTCCGCACCACTGATACATGACCTTCTCTTACAGCTACGTGCAACGCGTTGTCGCCATCCGCGTTTACCGCGTCAAAATTAATATTGTTCTACGCAAACGAGAATTTGTTTGTCGTGAAATATTGTAATTATAGAGATTAAGATTGTTAATTTCGATACATAATATATTAGATAGTTTCTTACTTGCAATAACGCAGAGACAACAGCGGCATGTCCCGCTTTGGCCGCCACGTGCAGAGCGGTGTTCCTATTTGCATCCGTATCGTTGACACGAGCACCCGCCAGAATTAAACTTCGCACCAACATCTCATTCCCCGACACAGCGGCAAGATGTAAGGGTGGCGTTTGTGTAACATCGTGTATTCTCGAATTTACATCTACCTGAAAAGTGACGATCGGCTGCAGATACTGGCTTTATACATAATTAATTTATTACGCTTAAATTAAATACAATACTTGTATAGACAATAAAAATAGAATGCTCTCCATGTCACCCTTCTGTATAGCAGTATGTAAGAAATTTCTGCCTTTATTGTCGTATTGTTCAGCGGCTTTAGGTAATCTCTCTAATATTGCTTGTGCAGCTTTGTTATTGCGAACTGTCAGGGCGGTCGCGAAAGGCGACAATCCTTTCTTATCTCTTTTATTCAGATCTATATTTGGGTGGCACAGCAGAAGAGAAATAATCTGCGAATGCTGATTCTGTATCGCCACATGCACAGGTGTTTTTCCTTCCGCGTCGCGGGCATTCACATCAGCTCCGTGTTCGATGAGCGTTTGAACGACTTGCTCCAGTCCCCATTGACAACACAAATGTAACGGTGTGCACTCATCTCTTGCCTCGTCTCCACCAGCACCGTTTGGGCCGGGTCGTCTTGGAGCATTCAAATCGCATCCACTACAAAACAATAAATCATTATTTAAAAAAAGGTACAACGTTTGAAATTACTTAAATAACTTCTTTTTACAATAAATCGAATTATATCTTCATCATGACAAATTACAAAATATAAGATAGTATCTGTAATGATTTAATAACTTTTTAAAATAAATCTTTGCTTGTTATCCATTCTTCTCAACTAAAAAAAATTTCGCACCTTCTAATCAAGAACTGTGCAATATCTTCTTTGTTATCGTCGATTGCTCTGTGTAACAACGTTTGTTGACAGCTATCAGGGCCTGGACCCCAACAATCTGTGTCCGCTCCATGTTTAACCAAAATTGATGCAGTATCTTCTTGATCCGAATCTAAAGCATCCCATAACGGACATCCTATTGAAGTGTCTACGCCTCGCCTGCAAAGAGCCTCTACCACTTCGCCCAGTCTACAGTGTACGCACAGTTGTAACGGTGTCTCTCCATTGGCTGTTCTGCACGTATCAAAATTAATACAATTAATACAGTTAATAAAATTGAAACTGTAATCGCAAATAGATTTCTGTAAATTTTATTGTATTATCAAACTCACTTTGCGTTCATATCAGCGCCATTTTCTAACAAAAATATCGCTGTAGCTGAATCCTCTTTCAGTATCGCTTGATGCAATAACGTCAGGCCTTCGTCGTTGCGCTCGTTCACGTCAGCTCCAGCTTTTATCAAAGCCAGCACGATGTCTTTACCTTTCTTGAATGGTGTTTTTATAGCCAAACTCAGAGGTGTCTCGTTCGCGTTGTTCTTAATAGTCAACTGCGAATCCAAACTTGTAGCATCCAATAACTCGATGACTATGTCAGTGTACAGATTCGAAATAGCGAAATGAATTGGCGCGTCGCCAGTGGAAAGAGTAACGACATCGGTCGGCAGCCCGTTTTTTAACAGAGCATGAGTCAGATCTTTTAAACCCACTCTGCACGCTTCGTGTAGTATTGTGAAACCTTCGTTGTTAGTTTTCGTTAAATTATTATTACAATATTCCACTAAGAATAACGCTGCCTCTTCTTTGCGTTCTTGCGACAAGATATGAAGCAATGTGTTTCCGGTAACATCATATGTTGGATTCGGTATAGCGCCTTTAGCAAGCAATTTCGACGCAAAGTATTCGTTGAAGGGTTCCATCTTCATTGCAAAACACAACGGTGTATCATCTTCATTTGTGATTTGATCTACATCTATATTCTTCGCTTCGAGTAATAGATCGAACAACATCTCGTTTTTCTCCGAGATACAGCTATGAAGTGGAGTCCTGTAAAAAAGCAGGGGATAAAAAATGCTAATAATCTTAATTTGATGTATTTTTAAATGTATTATAAATTCTATTTCAAATTTTATCAGACAATCATTTAGTTTCTACATTATTTGAAGTGTAATATGAAGGCTCAGACACAATAAAAGGAATAAAATTTCAATCTATCAAAAGCTGTGCAGTTGAAATCTGTTATTTCTTGTTTCTTATTTAATAATTAATTTTCATTGTGTCTGAATTCTTTTATTAATTAAGAGTTAAAAATTTTTAAGCAGAAAGCTGATAGAAAATACAAATTTACCATCCTCTGTGGTCTTGTAAGTTCGGATCAATTCCCGTTTGGAGTAATCTCGTTCCAACCGCCAACATGTTTTCCGTATTGTGTTTTGCTACTAGATGCAAAGCAGTGCAGCCTTCCAGTTGCTTAAGATCTGCCGCATTCTTCGCACTCTCGTTAATTTTCACAGCTTCACATAATTTTGATACGCTGCCATTGTTCTCCAGCTGCTCAATTATGAATTCGGATGAGTAGGAGTCTCCCTTCAAGATAGCTGAATGAAGGAGAGAAAGACCTCTCGCGTCTTTCGCATTTAAATCCGCTCCGTGCTCGACCAGGGTGCGTGCCAGAGATGGCTGGCGAGTTTTCAAGGCAACTTCTAGAGCCATTTCTCCTTTGTGATCCACAACATTGACAGCCTTCGGAAGCTGACATAAATGATCTCAACGTTAGCGTCAAAAGGCAAAAGATATTAAAAAATTCATCACTTTTATTTTGTTTAAAACTGATTTAAAGATCTACGTAACAAGACGCATAATTTTAAAGCTTGCAAAGAGCATTTATGTTATTAATCTTATACATAGTAATAAAACATCTTATTACAACAGTAATAAACATTATTAAAAACAATATAATAATTATTTAAATAAACATTTAAATTTCGAATGAACGTATATTTAAAGTACCATTTCAAATTAATATTTTAGTTTTTAAATAAATGTCAAGTTATAATGACAACAGTTGTAGAAGAAGCTGAGGTTTGAGAGCCACTGCTATCAGCGCGTGCACGCGTGTGTGTGTTCACGCGTTGGAATGACACGTACAGTATCGGGTCAGCGCGAAAAAGTGGAGGAAGTATGGAGATTATTTTCTGATATACATGGAAGACCGAGGGAGTATTAAAGCCACCGCCAAGGCGGATGACGTGGTCTTCGCGAATCGCGGTACGTCCAACCGACCGCAATCGGCCGTCGACCAGTCGTTGTTCCACGCGTTTCTGATGCATTTTCGCACGAGGTGGATCCACGATACCGTGGTGCGTGTCGCGGAATAAGACATTATGATACGTTATGCAAACAACGAAACTCTGTGATAGATGGGCGCCGCTTGTTCGCCGCTCTATTTGACGGTGAACGTCGATTAGTGCGTGTTAATTAAGAAGATAATGAGAGATCGAAAAGTTTCGATTTGGAAACTTCACGCGAATACGAAGGACCACCCAACGGTGAAATCTAGCGCTTTCCAACGAATCTCAAACGAGAAATTCGTCAACAATTAAAAAAGCGATTATTTGTAATCGTTCAAATCTTTTATAATTCTATGCATAACAAGGTTATTTAGGCGAAACATATGGATGATATTTTTTATTTTAATAATGGTT